TTGCTTTAAATTCTATTTATCTTATTCCCCTTCTCTTTTGTTTCATATCTTCCCCTTTTCTTCTTTTCATTTTCTCTTCTTTATTTTTTGTTTCCTTCTTCCTTTTCATTCTCTCTTTTTTAATTTTTTATTGTTTATTTTCTTCAACATTTTTTTTAACATTTTCTAATTCTATTTTTAACAGAAAATGTTAATAATAAAAATAATGATAAAAATTATGGGTAAAATAAACATTTATGGTACGATAAAATTGATAAATTTATTGAATATATATATAAAATAAATTTTTTAAAAAAAATTATTTAACACAATTTAATATTTAAAATTATTAAAAATTAGCATAAATTCTTTTTGTTTTATGGATATGCATTTTGCTATATCTATTTTTTTAATTGCTTTTTCTATATATGGTTATAAATGATATTGGTATATTTTTATCCCTTACATGTTATCCAAGCAAGAGAAAGAACTTTTCTATATCTATAGAAAAGTTAATTAAAAATTTTGTTTTACAATAATTTTATAAATTTTAAGACTAACTTATTAAAAAAAAAAATTATAGGAAAATTGCAACATAATTCATAATTTAGAAACAAAATTGATAATTTTTCATTTTTAAATGATTAACAATCTTGTTATTGTTGTTTAAGTAGTAAATAAATGTATTAAAAATATTAATAGTAAATATTATACAATTAACAGATAAAATAACAAATAATAATTTATAAAATAATTTATTTTTGTCTAATTTTTTATTTTTTTTAAAGAAAAAAGAAAGTAGTTTCCGCGTGATCTACTAAGCTCGAGTGGAAAATATAATTAAATAAAAATGGAGAGTAATAGCACTGTAACATATCATCTCCCTCTCCCTCTCACTTTCTCCTTCTCACTCGTCAGTGTCGAGTGCAGAACAAAATGAAGATTTCTTTTTTCTTTTTTTGAAAAATTCTCAATTTCTTTATAAGAACGCGCAAAATCGCAAAATCAGAAATACAACAATTTTTCTCTTCCTCTCTGTTTTCATCTCGATATCTTTTGAAAGGGACAGAGATTGGTTGATTTCTTCCATGGCGACTCCTCGAATGATAATTGTATCGCAGGACGGGAATGGTGACTACCTCACGGTTCAGGAGGCGATAGACGCGGTGCCGCTAGGCAACACGTGTCGGACGGTGATACGAGTGTCGCCGGGAATATATCAACAGCCGGTATATGTGCCCAAGACCAAGAACTTCATCACTCTTGTTGGTGTCAATCCCCATATCACCGTCCTTACCTGGAATAATACCGCCACCAAGATCGATCACCACCAGGTATTTTGACAGGCCCTACCTCTCTATGATAAAACTCCATCTATGTATGGGTCATTATGCATTTTGTTTTTGCACTGTATGTTGCTGGCTGTCAATCTCTACTGTTTTTGCAGTCCTCAAGGGTGATCGGTACCGGAACTTTTGGCTGTGGGAGTGTTATTGTGGAAGGAGAGGAGTTTATTGCAGAGAATATCACATTTGAGAACTCTTCCCCTGAGGTGAAGTTTGTGAATTCCGTCTTCTTCTTATTCTTTGTCCATATCCAAGTCAACTCGGTACAAAACTGGGTTCTTTTTGCTTTGATTACAGTGTTAAATCTTGGTTTAAGGTCATAGATATGTTCACGCAAGCGGCTAAACTATGTGAAGTTCGAATTTGGTTAGACTGTTAACATTTGCATTTGATGGCATTTATCTTTTCTGTCTGTTTCTTAAAAATTGTTGAGTGAGATTTCTGTAATTTGCATTATTTTGTTCTATGTGGATGAAAATGAGCTTTTAGGATCTTGCTATTAATAAAAGCTAACTCTTTTTTTTTTTTGTTTCTTTGATGAGTAATTCAGCTTCTAGGCAATGGCGTGCAATGAATTCTGTGTTTGTAGTTCTAGATATGCCTTCTGCTTATCCCCTTCTGAGTTTTTTTGTGAATCTTACCCCTTTATCACGTAAGCCTTATGGATGTTGGAGTCAGGATTTGTATTAGAAAAACTTGCCTTTTACTGGGCAATTGAAATAAATGTATATAAGGATTTACCTTGTAGATTTGCGTGTTTCACAACTTGTCTGGTTCCAGGTTCTCCATAAACTAAAAGTGGATAACTTCTTTTCCTTAAAAATGTTTTACCATGTTATATAAATTAAACGCATTCTCTTTTCCTTTCTTCTATCACAGGGGTCAGGTCAAGCTGTGGCACTACGAGCAACAGCTGATCGGTGCGCATTCTATAATTGCAGGTTTCTCGGTTGGCAGGTAGTTTAACTCTTTGACTTGGTTTTGGGTTAAGTATAGAACCTTGTTTGAATTATTAGACAGTAGTTAAAAATGGTATAACTTATGTGGAATATAGTTAATATATATGTATCATGGAAAATTGATTCTCTATGAAGAAATATTGTGAATTCGAAGAGAAAGCAATATTTTTTTTAAGTTCAGCAGTTCTATTCGGCTTTTCATCTGAAGTTATGTTGTTTTTGGGGATAAATATCTCATGAATAACAAATGAAAAGAAGGGAAGTTGCCTTTTAGTGAGTACATTTCATAATTCAGTTATAACTACAGTGGAAGCTTTAGGTGAGTTTCACTGACAGTAAATGAAAGTAAGATCTTAAATGGGGTGAGGAAGGTTGATCAATTATTTACTTTTATGTTACTGATACGTCTCTTATTAGTTTGGAAAATTTAGAATAGCTGTCTGGCACATGAGGTTGTTAAATCTAATGCCATAGACAACTTTGAATGCAGGATACTTTGTATTTGCACCATGGGAAACAGTATTTGAAAGACTGTTATATTGAAGGAAGTGTGGACTTCATTTTTGGTAATAGCACTGCTCTCTTGGAGCATTGTCATATCCACTGCAAGTCTGCAGGTTTTGTTACTGCACAAAGCCGGAAATCTTCTCAGGAATCAACTGGTTATGTGTTCCTGAGGTGTGTAATTTGACTTGAAACTTTCTTCTTTTCTTTTTAATTTCCCATCATACATTCCGGTAGTTTGCAAGAGTAAATTTGGTCTAGAGAGAGAAAAATCTAGGCATTTTCGCTACACGAGGCAGTATGACCCCTTTTTGCTAGGACTAACTAGTCTGAGAACGACCTCCATGATTGCTTCAGGATGTAATTTTGGTGAGGGAATGGATGGCTTTTTAAAGCCCTTTTTTGGGTAAGGTGGCAAAACACTTGGAAAAGAAGAATGGGAGGAGATAACTGCTCCTTTTCTGTCTCTCGAGACCACAACAGAAGGGGAAAGATATCAAGAACCAAGTGAGCTAAATGCCAGAGGAAAAAGAAGGATGATCTTCCTCAAGGCTATGGAAATAGATGTGATGGAGGCTTTTATGAGTGGCTGCGGTTTGCGACAAAAGAGGTGACCTAGGGGAGCCATTGTGGTCTGAAGATGAACATTCGACTTCGCGCTTTTGCAACGCTCATGCCAAGTGCTGATTGGGTGTAACCTCCATTTGTGGGTCATGTGTGACTTCAATCTTTAGAGGTTTTTATGGTTATGTGAAGTAGAGAATGATTTGGATATTTTGAATTTCTAAGTTTGATACAAAAACTGGATCATGTTGGAGATCTGTTGGCCTGCATATGGTGAATAGAATTTGTAATGGAGCTTCTTTGCTTGCTTTTAAGATATGCAAAGCTATCAGCATTACCTCCTTTCAAACTTAACCAACTTGGTTTATTCCGATTCCTTCAAGGTTCATTGCATGTATTGTGATAATAAGTGAGCTTGTGCTTTCTCAACAATGCTGATCCAAAGGACCCTTGATTATTTCCCTCTTTCTCTTCAAAAGAAAAAAAATGTGGCTGAAAAGTTTGGATCTGCCTAAAATGTAATTTCTGATCTTAATACATCTGACAAAAGTTGGATTTAGGTACTGAACATGTAATTTTGTTTGCTTATCTTACTGTTCTCAGTAGTACAATTGATTTATATTAGAGTATAATATTACGGCTTTTATGCAGATGTGTGATTACTGGTAATGGAGGGAATTCATATGCATATCTGGGACGCCCATGGGGACCTTTTGGAAGGGTGGTTTACGCGTATACATATATGGATGCATGTATCAAATCTGTAGGCTGGCACAACTGGAGCAAACCTGAGAATGAGAGAAGTGCTTGCTTTTACGAGTACAGGTATCTCATGTTTAATCCTTTCTCTTCTTATCTCTGCATTCTTAAAGATTGGAGACGGAAATGCTTTGTTAAAAATAATGGTTAAAACAATTATGCTGAAGTACTTTTTTGGATGTGTCTGACCTACCTAGTTTATAGTAAGAAAACAGTTTTTTCCTTAAAAGTTTGAATGGGCATTTGGATGCTCATGTCAAACCTATACTGATGTCCAGTTTCATTGTATAATGAACTCTAGTGCTTTGATCAAAATCACAGGTGTTTTGGGCCAGGTAGTTGCTCATCAGAACGGGTGCAATGGTGTAGGGAACTGGTAGATGAAGAAGCAGACCAGTTTCTGATGCATTGTTTCATTGACCCAGATCAATCAAGACCTTGGCTTTGCCAGAAAATGGCCGTGAAACTACCATATTCTGCATAGAGAAGTGTGTCAAAAGTGTTTGCAGATGCCGGAGAGTGAAATCTCATTCATGCACCATGTTAAAAGTGGTTTTCAGATACTCGATCAATAGTCAAATAATGAAATCTCGTTCGCTGGGAATAAAGTTTTCAGAGCATAGATTATTAGCTAGGCATGTGGTTTGTGGGAACTTCAGCAGGATGTTGTTTTTCTATGGAGTTGGTAGTGGAGAGAGGAATGATATCTGGTCTGATGTTTCCACCTAGGTGTTGAGTTGGTTGTATGGAACATGTCTTATTTATGGTGATCTGTGTTAGTTTTCCTTTTGTGTTAAAGATGGCACTGCTACGCGGGAGCTAGTTGCCTGCAAACAGGTGAAGAAGTTGAACTGTTGTAAAATTGGGTGTGTTTTAATTACTTAATCTCTATCTATCTATATATAAAATTAAGGGTAGATACCTACTCCAGGATCGGTTTAATTATGGTAATGTTATTTTTAATCATAATGTTAAAAAGTTAAAAGGGCAAAAAATGGGAATTGCCTAATTCTTGTTTGGCAAAAATAAAAAATTTCCAGTTAAAATGGTTTTATTTATTCATTTATTTGCAAATTAATTACATAACAGAAGATTTTGATATTCTGAGATATTGGAAAGTGAATCAAACACAACCTGAAAGCAAGCTTTATTACAAAACAGTAAGGGTAAGTTACGCTCGCTGCCTTGTTGTAAACCATAAAGAGTCACAACTACATGTATACATATTTCACTTATTTTCTTCTTTCATTAAACTTTGTTTTTTTATTCAATTTGCATATTCTTCTTATAACCAATTTATACATGTCAACCTTATGAAATTATTGGCGTCGAGTAATTATAATTTTATGAAATCACGTTATATGTACACAATGTGTTTGGTTCCCTTCAATACCCCCCATGCAATATACAAAATTTTACAATAAAAATTGATTGTTTTATTTGTTTCCACCGTATAATTATGTAATTAAATCTGTAATTTAATAATAATCATACCTAAAACTATGATTACCATTACATTATGTTGGGGTACAAAATAGCTTACATTCCACAACATTACAAATATATTTCCCATTTATCAAAACATATTCTATTGTTTATAAAAATCCACTAACCAATCAAGATGCGACACTTGTAGCCCGTCTTTGTTTAGCCCCAAACCCCGTACCATTCCTGGGCCGGGTCGAAAATCCGTGTCATGCCTGTTGGGCCCAGGGGTCTTACACTCCAAATTGGCGCGGTCATCTTCCAATACCACCTCTTTGCTTTCTCCCTGCAGCAGGAGAAAAGAAAGTCGAAACAACGAGAAATATGAAGACTTCTGCGAAAGACTCCACTCACGAATCAATCTCTGCGGCACAGGCATTTTTTGTCCACCTGAGCTGTGGATTAATCTTAGCCGCTGGTTTCTGGGTTGCCCACAACATCTATTCTATCAATCTCGTCTCTCATACCACTCTTACTCTTCGCCTGATCTGGGTATTTATTATGATTCTATTCTCACCTTTCTGTTATTGTTAGTCTGATTTTGATTTTGTTTTCTCTTCTTTGTTTCCAGATTGTTGCGTTTCCAGTCGTGGTTCTTTTTTACAGTTTATTTCGACGGAATCCGGAACAATGCTCGGTAATTCATGTTATTCTGATTCGTTTTTTTTTTTTGTTAATTTTTTTAAATCATGTTTGGTTGCCGAAAACATGAAGGGAAATGAAAAAATGCGGAAAAGTTGTACCCTTTGTCTTCTTGTCGATTCCACGGGATTTCTAATGAAACGAGCAGGACTTACGCTTCGCTTTTCATTCTTCTTTTGTTTTGTTTTTGTTTTTTTTTTGTTTTTTTTTTTAATTTTTAAGTTTATGATTTTCAATTCAATATTCTGTTCTTATATATTCTCGTGGGCCGAACAAGTCTTTCTTTTTTTTTTTCTTTTTAACTTATATTTACATGGCTTTTTTTCTTTGTGATGTTTTCAGTACTGGAAATCTGTAGGACGAGGCATACTGGGTCTTCCTATTGGTTAGTATGAATTTGAGTTTATATGGCAAAGCTTTTCTTTTTCGTGATAATGTTATTAACAAAGTTGCATAGTTTACTTGAGAATGTGTCGTATTGGGCAAGTTAACAAGTGCCTACATCTTTAATTTATTCTTGCATGACAAAATCTTTGGGAGCCTCCTTTTCCTTGTGGGTTTGCTCACTGGAAATTTGCTAATTGTGCCTCGGTTAATTTTTTCACACACAAAGTAATTTAATTTTTTCTTTGATGTTTTTGGTCTAGTGAAAGCAAAACCAGTTACTTCCCTAAGGAAATAGGACTATAGTGGGAAATAGAGTGAAGCAATTATATGTAACTTCTTATCATATTTTAAAATTGCATCAGAATTTCCTGGTTGTTGACACTTTTCCCAATCATCCTAATAGCAGTGCGGCAATAATCATACACATAGGAAGCTATGTAACTTTTTTTGTAAAGAGGCTTTTAGAGAAAAGATATTTCCATGACTCGTAATTGTGTTCAAACTTTGAACTGAGAGACCCTGATAGTGTTTCTGGCTTATATTAAAAACTGTTTGCTGCTATTACAAGGCTATTAGATTTTAATGGAACTATTTTATTTATTAAAAAATTATCCTTTAATAACCCATGCATCTTTTGATTTGCAGGAGCCTTGCTAAATGCTTTGGGAGCAGTAGCTTTGGGTGCACCTGTTGGCTTGCAGTACGTGAAATAGGTTTGAATATGATTGCTTCTTTGCATAGTTCTGAACGCAGAAGTCACCATTTGATATTTAAAGTTCAATTACTTCAGTCCCGTAAGGGGAACCTGTTATCATTATTAGATGCCTAACACCCCTTTCTCTTTCAAAATTGCTTCTTCGTAATTTTCAATTTTCTGTCAATTGGGGGAGGATTCCAGCTGGGACTTTCTTCTCAAAGAAACTTGACTGCCTATGTCAACTCTGATTAGTTCTTTAAAGAATTGTGAAAGCTATTTAAAGTTCAACTATTCAACAGGAATATGCTGATTTTGTGGCTTTTTTGTTGCACACAGGTATCTACCAAAGACCATTAATTGGTCTCTTCTAATGTCATTGTTCACTGTATGTATCCAAATTTTCTTTTCTTTTTCCCTTTTACAATCTCTGAGGAATTTAGATAGATTATCTCATTCCTTTAAGATCATGTTATGCTCTGTTTTATATACCTAATTTTGGCAGTCAGTGCTCAAGAATTGATGTAGCCTTATTTACTAGTTGACTGCAGTATTTATTTAATAGTGTATCAGATTCTGGTAACCAAATGAACTGAGTGCATCATGAAATCCTTAGTAGTCTTTAGTTTTCTGTTGCTGCTTATAGAAGGCTATTTGTCTTACATACAAGACTAAAATAATCTAAAAGACATGGAGGTGGCTGTATGATTCTGCATCACATATTGATGTTAATACATATGAACATGTGTTGATAAATGGCGTTTGCAGGAACTGCCATGTCCTCCAAATTTAGCATTTTGTGTTCTTTTTATGTAGTTGATGTAGAATTTTGGGGTTTATTGTATTTGTGGATACATTTTCTAATTAGTTTTAGTATTTTCTAGATTTGTGATTGATTATTCCATACATACACACATCTTGTACATACTTTCATGAGTGAACATATGCATAAACACGAGTTTATGAGATGAAACTAACAATTGTTCATTTACCAAAGAGAGCTTGATGTTTCTACCCTTGTGTTTTTGCAGTTTGTGCCTGCATCTTCTGTCTATGGTTCTTCTCGGGCAGATTGGCATCATACACTTATAGAGACAAAGTAAGCCTTCTGTTTTTAGTCATGAAGCATATGTTTCTGCTGCTCTATGTTTTTATGAGAAATTTAATGATCCGGTGCATAAATATATCATGAATCAGAATATAGCTGAATTACTTTTCAAGAGTTATAGGTGCACTGATAGCTATGGTTCTCCATGAACCTTAATATGATGTCAGGAATAGCAATTTTCACTTGCATTGAACTTATAGGGGCAATGATGGGTTGAGGTCAACATTTCCTGTTAATCCCGATCATACTATTTTAATTTATATCACGTATAAAAATGTATAGATGTAGATATATGTAGTCTACAATTCACAATTAAAGTTATGGTTTTTCAAACCAGACCTGTGGTCAATCCAGTCAAGTAATATTGGTTTACCTGTTTGAATGGCTGATTCACTATATATATATATATATATAATAAAGAATTAGTAATGATATTACTCAAATCTGACAAAATATTAATATGCACCGAAGGGGTGCAAACCCATATACAAAATATTTCCAAATATGATAGGCTATGAATCAAATCTCCTAAATCTTACAAGTAATTATTACAAAAGCAAAATATTTATGGTTTGAATAGAGTAGTAATGGAAATAAGAGTCAGATATTTTATTTTGTTTGGATAGGAAGCGAAAGAGAGTAGGAGTAGAAAGTAAAGTCTAAACGAATAATATCCATAGGTAGATGGATATGCGTTTAAATTAAAGAAGATAAATAATATGGGAAAGTGACTTAAACATCTTAGTACCTTTCCATCCATTCTCCTCTGAATTTTAAGAGAAGATTAAAATGTTTCTGTCATTCTCCTTTTTGTCGGTTGCTAAAATTGTTTACGGAGTGTTTAATTATTTATTCCCTAAACTTTATGTTCTGCTCACCTTTTTCTCTCTCTAAAAGTGCCTAAATAATAACAAAAGAAAAAGTGAAGATGATTAATTGAACCAGCTAGTTTTGACAAGCATTAATGCTCATCTCATATATTTGTTAAAGCAAATTGAGTAAGTTCCAATTCAAGTAAATATGGTTTATTTGTTTTTTTCTCAAATATTCTCTACTAACATTCAAATTTCAAAATTTTAAATAACATATTTATGTATAATAACGCAAAAATGTAAAATTTCTAATAAATTTTTAAGATAAAAATAGAAAAAATAATAAACAGATATACCTACCATTTTCCGACCCTGCACTATATTGCAATTTCACAAATTTCCCGCACTCCAGTGGTGAATATCGCAGAACTCTTCCCACTTTTCCTCGTTTTCTAAATGTTGTCGAAAGAAGAGGTTATTCTTTAAATTTTTGGCACTTTAAGTTGAAAAAGAAAAGATCAACTGAATTCTAGGTTCACAAGCATGAATAATTTCCTCTGGAATATCATATGTTAATATAGAATTCCATCTGTCTTAGGCCAAATGGATCTATAGATTATATGATCTGTCTACCAGCATATGGTGCTATTATTGGAGCATGGTTTGGGGCTTGGCCAATGCCACTGGACTGGGAAAGACCGTGGCAGGTAATTCTTTTTAATTTCTTACTGAAGTGTAGTGTTTTGAGGAATCTTACTGAAATGTAGTTAATTTGACTGTTTTCTTTCTTTTTTCTTGCCTGTGCCTTGTGAATTTTAGTAAGTTCATTATTGTTGTTTTCATTATGATCCTTGGTTGCATATCCCATTCTTGCATATATCATTTAGAGTTTATCTTTGATCATAGTGTCAGTATTACACTATAAATAGCCATTAGCTTCCAACCACTTACACGTGTTTCTCAGCCAAACACACCTGGTTTGGATAATTCTCACTTGCTTTTCTTTTGATCAAGAATAAGGTAATTGAGGCTTACGAAATAGTATCTTGATGACGTAAGGTACCTGATTGTCTGGTTTTTCAGTATCCTTCCTCACTGGAATCCTTGGCTAATTCCTCTAACTGCTAATTTTCTAACTGAAAACAGAATACCAAAAATGACATCCTAGCATTCTAGGGCATTGTTCTAGGTCCTGATAGATGATCATTATGAGTGGTGAAAAAAATTATTTATCTGCAAATAAGGTGAAATTGTAAAAATATCTGTTTAGCTTGGAATTACAATGAGTTAATTTTCCTTAATTAATGTGCCATTAATAGATATTAAGTAATTACTGCAGGATGACCATTGAAAGGATTACTGAAGGAAAAAAGAAGATTCTTAAGAGCATTCTTGCCCTTTTGTAATTTTTTATGGATTGTCGCAACTGCTATAAGTATCAAACGGCAATTGCTTCGGCAAAACCTTATGATTGATTTGATATATATGTGAAAATATAGGGAAGCTTTGTGAAAATCACCCTAGTAATTCAGTAGCAAAAGTATCAAATCGCAGAAATTTAAGTTTGAAGAAGCAAATCTAAACTCTTTTCTCTTTGATGTTTACAGTTATTTATTGTCTGTTAACCCTTGATTACATCCTAAGTTGTTTTTGTCTGTGTGATATGTGTTGCCATTGTGCTTATTTTCTGAAAGCATGTGAACAGTTTGATAAACTAGATGGTTGACTTGCAAGACAAGGCATCATGGGCAGGCCATCTTACAACCTTAAACTCATAGATTCACATTCCCTCAATGAAGGAATTTAAACAGCTAAAATTCTGTCCTAATGTTTGCAGTAGTAGCTTCCGAATATCAAATGACACACCAGAGTTCAGCATGTTTGTTCTCTGTTGGGAAAGAATGTCAAATTTATTCAACTCTTGCATGCGCATAATTCACACCTCAAAATCAGTTTCTTTGCATAATTATTTTACCATTAGCTATAAAAAGCTGAAGGAATGTTCAAAGATGTTTTATTGAATATTTTGTAAAGTTCATATGTAGAAGCCTGAATCTTCTTGCAAGTACTTTTTCTTTGTAGCAATGGCCTATATGCGTGACGTATGGAGCCATGGTCGGTTACACAGTTGCGATGGTGGCATCCTTCTACTTGGTGCTTATCCATCATAGACGAGAGCGTGAAAAAGCAGAATAGCCAACCACCATGAATGTTGCTCTGAGTTTTCATTAATTTCTTTCTTTCTTTCTTCTTCTTCTTTACAAGGTTTATGGATTCATTTTCTTATCTTGTATGAAGTGTGTAAAGTAATCTCTTCATAAATGGGAGAAAAGTTTTTTGAGTAATTTGCCCCAATAGTTGTAGATGGTCCTGAACAACTGCAATCCATTTTGAGTAGTCTCCTTTTTAGTGGTCCGTGAGTGCTTTATTCTTAAACAATTTACTACTTGTCAAAACTATTTTCACATTCAACTTTACTTTTATTAATTTTTTTTTTCCCCACTTCATGCATATATTAAAATCAGTTTATATTACCATAAAGGGTATTTGAAAAATTCAATTTTATATAAATAAATAACAATTAGAATTATTAATTTAAGAATATATGTTCATTGTCACATGACATTTAACCCAAAAAAAAAAAAAAAAAACTAAAGAATTTCGAAGCCCAGCAGCAAGGTGGTGGTTTTTCTTTTTGGTTTTTTGATCAGTTGCTTTTTCTTTTTTGCTTGTAGCCATTAACATAAGAGGTTGACTTAGCAAAATTCAACACGATGACAATGGTGCTCAACAAGGACAGTTACCAAGACTTACATATATATATATATATATATATGTGCAAGTTGAATAATTAATAAGAAGCCAATTTTGTTGATTGTTTTATATGTAGTATAGTTGAATGATACGGTAACAAATATTATATAAATAATAATGAAATAGAAATAATTAAAATTAATAATTGTAAATAGTGAAAATTTTGCTTAATTGTCCTCCAACTCAAAATGTCAGTGGATAAAGTCAAATACAATGATTAGTCAACTTGATTAGATATTAATTCATGCTTAGACGAAAAATCACCTAGTGGACTAACACAATTAACTCCGCGCATGCACGAATACCTATAATTAATTATATTTACGTCACTAATTAAGATAGATTAAGATTAACAAACGTGACATAATTACACATTAAAATATAGCAACTGAACCCGGTCATCAACCAGTAATATATTAATTAGAGTATAAAATTTAAATTGAATTAAATTAATCACCATGTTGCTGCTTTTTAATTAATTATTGGTTTGTGTGTGCTTGTCCACAACTCGTGAGATCCCTCATTGATTTTGATGTGCTGCCCACTTCAACCTCTTATTTGGTGTATTCTTTGTTTTTCTTGCCATCAGAAAGTTAAAAAATACAATATGTTACTTGAAAATTCTACATTCATCAATGCCCATGAATTTATGTAATACTCAATTCTAAAATTTTATTTGAAATTAATTTTAAAATTTAAAATATGTATATATAAATATAAAATTTTATTTAATGTAAAATTAGAAAAAAAAAAAGTAGATAATGAAATTAAAAATAATTTTAAAAAAAATAGGCGAAAATTTGGGTTCGGAAGATATTTTTGAATAAGAAAAATAAGAAACTGGAAGTTAAAACACAATTAAAAAAAAAATTGTGTTACATAGGATCGCCCAAGTCAGCAGTCTCGAGGAACCGGAGCATGCCGCGTGGCAAGGCACGCTGACTCAGTGCAACGCTGGAGGCCACGCAGACTCAGTACCACGTAGGAGAACACGCTGACTCAGTGCCACACTGGTAATCCACGTGCCTGTGATCGGACGGCCCGGATGTGTTCTCGTGGGCGTGGACAGTCCGGATCTGTTCCCTCCTCAGGTGCGATCGGACGGTCGTGATTAAATGCGATGAACGATCCAGATTTGTTCTCTCTTTAAATGCGATCGTATAGTCGAGATCAAATCACGATGAATAGTCCATATTCATTTTCTTTTTAAACGCAATCGGACGATCGAGATCAAACGCGACGAGTATAAATATCTCGCATCACACCGAAACCAAACCCTAGCCGCCAGCCCCTCGCCGAAAAAGGGAGCCGACCACCAACCACTGTCATACCAAGCCACCTCCGACCACCAAAAAGGTAAAAATTCTATTGTCTGCTCGGAATTTGATTCCAAACACCTCCATGGCTAAATCAGAGCAAAAAGAACGGTGGATGAGCCAAAAACTGCGAGTAAAGCCTAGCGGCACCACGCGG